AAATACAAACTGCTCTTTGTTTGATTGATGACATGAAATGAGATCAAAATGTTTCATAAAATATTTGTATTCACCTAATGTTAAAAAATATGAATTAAAGAAAACAAAACAAACTCGTGCTAAGCTTTGCTTAGGACAAATTTAAATATAAAATCTATAATTTAGAGAAATCTAGTAATTGAGCATTATTCGCTTCAAACACATAAATTTAATCACAACCATTATCATTAACGATAGTCAAATCAACGGACAAATTATTTTCAGGCAATGTTTGCCAAAATGCAAGTCGATTCGAAGGCATTAAAGGTCCCAATTTTGTAATAATATCCATCTTTCTTTGGTTACTAATTCCTCGCGGTGCAGTCTTCTAACAGGTCCAGGCAAGCCAGAGTTTCAACCTTAGTTTTCAAAAACTGTAGCTCAGTATAATCTGACTCCGCAAAAGATTTTTTTATATATAACTTAGTAGAGCCGCTTAGTAGTTGCACCTCCACGAAATCACGCACGTAAATTCTGTTTTGGGTATTTTTAAGTTTACGAGCCGATGAACAGTCTTCAAAATCGTAAAAATCTTCAAAAGACATTGGTTTTACTACAACTTTGCACAGATCGTACAGATTGCACAGTTTTGTGGAAATCATCAAAATCGTAAATTTTTGGATTACGTTTCATGGCCAGTTCAACCTGATGGTGAAAACTATCTGCTGACATGAAAGTATGCCCCAGTTCACAATATTTGAATGTTATTGTATTCGCGACTATTTCATAACTGTTGATTATGTAAGTTAAAAAACTAAAAAGTGACCAACATTTATTTTGGGATGCACAGTATCGGCCCACAACGTGATATTTTCTATGTCTCTCTTATTCTTAAAAAACTGATAAAAGGTGCTTGTTATATCTTCTTTTCTACGTCCAGATATAGCCTCATGCCATATAACAGCCATTGTTTGTATATTGGATGCAGGAGTTCCAATCGGTACGAAACTCTCATTAAAAATAATTAGACGTGGACAGAAAACTACACATTTAAAAGTTTCCATACTTGGGTGAAAGGTTACCTTATAACACAGTAACTCAACGGTTACTGTGTTCTAACCAAGTAATTCAAACTATAATATCGAAACTGCAGGCATTAAAACACAGTATGTAATATACTGTCTTCAATTCATGTATCATGTAAAATAATTACGTATTTATTTTAGTTTATACCACAGTATTCAAAGTTACTGTGTTATAAGCATAATATAGTATAAACCTAAAAATATGTATCATAAATTAAAAAACAGTAAAGTCCCTTTTTTACGTTTAAACACAGTACATGGCAATTTACTGTGTTTAGCTCTGAAATATCTTGATATTTTTTAAAACTTCGTAAAGTTACTGTGAACGATCTCGGCAACGGTAGGGGCTACAGATATACCGAAAATTTCCCCAGATAGAGCTCGCGCCGTAGATTACTATTCTTTATCCAAAGCAAAAACACAGTAAGTCAAGTTACTGTGTTTTCATTTACGACGGCAGAACTTTGGTGAAATTTGCCACTACTACCGCAGTACAGATTTTTTTCAGAATAAACACTTAAACGAAGGTGATTATTTTGTTGAGAAAACTTGGTTCATCAAAAAATGATAACTAAACTAAAGCAGTTGGTTCAGAATTTATGATTCAATAATATTGAAGCACTATTCAAAATAACGTAAGCAAAAATACAGATGAAAGAATAAAGAATTGTACCTAGCAACAAGAGTCAAAAGACTGGCACAGGGTGTACTTTTTCGGGGCTACATTGTAATTTAAAAACTGTTTGACTTGGAATTTTTTTAATATTTTTCTGGTAACTGTTGGAACATTGTCGATCACCTTGTTCCATTTGATCGTCTACTTTGGGGACACTCTGTATATTTATTAAGGAAAAAAGAAATGAAAAAATAAATAGCACGAAATACAAAAAAATTAATGAAAACACGCCAAAATCGACAAGTGCTGGAAACTAACCTACCAGATCGATTTATCGTCCCCGAAACGCCCTGAATAAAAAAATTCAGGAAAATCGATGGAGCCACCGAATTATATACCCACACACACGAAGCGCTTCGCATCAAGCTTCCTTGTACATACTGCTAAGAAGCTGGAACTGGAATTCATTGTTAGAGTCTATTTCCTGAAAGGTCAATAACCTGGGTGTCTTCAAGGCCCGAGTGAATAGGTTACTTATGGGTCGACGTGCTCCATTGTAGACCGCATCATCGCTTACCACCAGGCGAGATAGTGGTCAAACGTCGGCCCATTGAATATAAAAAAGCTGTTTCCGAGATCGTTGACATACAGGTGACTTGTAACTGGACGTATTCCTCTCGGGAGGTGATAATACCAGTAATTTCCTACAAAATTAGCCCCGAGGTCTGGTCCGAAAGTGGCTAGTTTCTGAAATATTCAACATTTTTTGTTTTGGTCAAAAATTCCTGTACTAAATAAATAAAAAACTACTGATTGAACTACCTAAGTGCTTTTTGGTTATAATTTGTTCGATTACCGGGTCGGGCTAAGTATAACTGGGTTTTTAAAAAAAATCTCAGCACGTAGTTTGGAATTGTGCCCCGAGTTTGGCAATAGACCCACCTGCATTACATGGGACTCAAACAAATAGTGAAAAGTGGGTGTTACATTGTACAGTGGCATTAAATGCCGTAATTTACACCTCTGTCCACCCCTTCGGGGATAAAAGGAGTGACGTTATGTTATGTTACGTTATTTTTTGGATAAATATTGATTACATACAGAACAGAATATTTACCCATTTTTTACTCAAGTTTTTACCCAAAACAGTGGATAAATTCAGCTTGCTTCCGACGTTTGCGTTGTGTTTCGTCGTGTGAGTGAAGTTACCGGAGGCCCAATTACCCTCCCCTTCTCCAATTTTCTCAATTCCTGAATCCCCAACGATCCTCAAACTCCTAATCCCCAAAAGGCCGGTAACGCACTTGTAACGGCTCTGATGTTCCAGGTGTCCATGGGCGACGCCGATTGCTTACCATCAGGTGATCCGTTTGCTCGTTTACCGAATTATGCCATAAAAAAAATACAGATATTTACTCAGAATTTACCAATTTTTAGTGTTTATCCGAAAAATCTTAACTTGGAACCTAACATGAATGTTAGACAATTGGATTAAAATAAAACATATTGTGTAATTACAGGTATATCATGTTTATTTTTTTACTACAAAAGAGATTTAACTTCAATAAACAATATATTTGCAAAAACTTTTGAATCACAAGGTTTTTGCGTTCCTTAGATGGCGCTGGTGTAGAATAAAGTTGGCATTCATTAAACAATCGAACATAACAATTTAAAAAAGTGCACATCCTAATACGATTACTTCTTGAGACGACACATAATTCAGAGACCTTTCGTACGAGTTTGTTTTACGTAACGACTAACGAGTACGCGTTCGGCACTCTGATTGGCCGGCGCCAATAACCTAACCAATCAGAGCGCCGAACGCGTACTCGTTACGATTACTTTAATCGTAAAAGAAACTAGTATTAAGGCCTCAATTATTATGTTCTCGGATTACTCACGTAACTGATTGAGGAGGAACTCAAGTAATTTCAAGCCATGCTAGAAGCTCATATTCATAAGCAGCATTCTACGACACACATAGAACATGGCGCTTTTGCCATACCTATTATTGGAAGCAAGTATAACAGTTATCAGGCCATATAACTGTAAAAAAAAACTATGTAAATCGATTATTAAGGAATAAATGAGGCTTTATTATTATTATGTATGTCTTTACCATTCACGGGACCACAGGGCCCCGGTCATTTGGGAGGCGTACGAGGGGCCGAAGCCAACTGCGCAGAGGCCCTTTAGACAACTTTAATCTAACTGTAATGGACACACATGTATTATTATTATTATTATAACAGTAATCACATAGGAACCACTTAGATTTTAGTCAATTTCCGTGGTGCTTGGCGACTGGGCTTCACCCAATTGTACAGTATCTTTTTTGTACCTTTAGGCTTAATTCATTCTGTCTCCTGTAGTAATTCACCGAGGGAAGTGGAAACTATCGTTTTTTTTTCTTCTCCTCTTATAATATCTTCTGATTCACTTCGTTGCGGGAACCAAGACTGTTATTCATGTCCCTGAGACGTGCCGGACTTCAGTGTTCCGGTGTTTTCATGGTTGTATCTACTGTAGATCCTGGCTTACAGGAGTTGCAGCGGTTTTAGGAGATTGCGGCGGGCTTGTCCCATAAAAAAAACTACACAGAACATATAATGCTCTGTGGCGATACACTACGCTGCGCAGTAGCAGTCATGTCTAGTCAGCTAGCTTGAAACGAGTCGAGTTCCTCGTCAAACAGTTACATGCGTGAGCCGAAAACATAAAAATTCATTTAGTATGTCTTACGAAGTAATAATACAGACACATAATTCGACACAGCGCCACTTTTTTTAAGGGGGGAAAATCATAGAATGACTGCTCCCGCCTGGGTGAGGCGGGAGGGAGTGTCAGACTCTTACTGACTAAAAACCACCCCGTTCCTTCTCCTGTACGCCGAGCCGGAGCCCCGGTTACCCGTTAGGTTCTCCGCGACTCCGAATCGGCATCGGCCCTGTTGGGCCCCATCTGTGGTGGTTTGTTGGCTCTTTGAGGCGCGCGCGGAACGCTCGGCACCGTACGCTCGGGTCTGTTTCTGGTCGGACGGGGAGCCACCCATGCTCGCCGTCCGCAGGCCCGCGCTTACGGTGGCCGGAGATCGTCCCGCGATCCCCGACGCCCGGTGTGTCCTTCGCGATGGCTGGGTTGTGAGGACGCGTCCCGCCTCCTCCTTAGCTAGCATGACTGCTTCGCAAAAGGAGGAGACGGCATCCCAGTTCTCCTCGCTCCGCCTCGTCGCCTGCACTAGGCCCGGACGCGAGAGGTCGCCATCGCCCATCACACAGCGCCACTTGAATCACATTAAAACATGACAAAAGTTCCCTTTAACAAACTTTATCACTCTCATGAGCTCTCATATGTTCCCTAAGCGTATAACTCCTCGCATAAGACTTGCAACATATAGTACAACTATATGGTTTAACCCCACTATGCTTTAACATGTGTTTTTTTAAGCCATGATTCGTTATAAAGGCCATTCCACACTCAGAACAACTTTTGTCTTTTTGACCGTGAGTTTGACGTATATGTGTCGCTAAATAATGTTTTATATTGTACTCTCGACTGCATATATGACATTTGAACTTATGCGTAATGTCATGCGCCTCAGACATATGCTTTATCCTATCGTTATAGTGTTTCATTGGTTTAAAACATATCTGACATTTTATAACTCGGTTAGAATGCGCGCTTTCCATATGATTCGCTTTGGAAGTCTTAGTTTTTAACACTTTCCCGCATTCTGTGCAAGGAAAGTCGCCGTTTTCGTGTGTACGCTTGTGAACTTTTAATCTTTTTGAGTTTAAAAATGATTTGCCGCAAACATCGCATATGCAATTCGCATAATGTTCGTTTAAATGGGTCGTTAAGGTTCTGAATACATGAAACTGTTGCCCGCACAAATGGCAAGAATACGGACTACCATTAACTTTATAATCAGCTATACACTCATTGTATATAACCTTTTTGTGTACGTCTACAAAATGGCGGCACATCGAAATGACATCTGTCAAATTCAAGTGACATTGGCGGCATTCGAGATTTGAAATTTCTATCTGCAAAGAGCGCGGGTAACGTTTTATCTTTTTTATTTCAACGTCTATGTCCGCGTGGGTTGCCAGCATGTGGTCTCTAAGGAGGTTTATTTCCATGAAGTCTTGTTGGCAAAAGAAGCATTGGAACCAGCTCTTGTGATGTCTAAAGGGGCACGCGTTTGTGCCTCTAAGAACGATGTCACAAGTAAGCATCACTCGTTTTCTTTCCGATATTTGTTTCGCTTCATTTTGGGTTTTCATTTGCAGTGAACCTGAAAAACAAAATAACGTTACGAAACTTATGATGGAATGGAAACTTATGTAACTGAGCCCACCATAAGACATATTTATTTATTTACTAGCTTTTACCCGCGGCTTCGCTCGCATCACAAAAGAATAAAAAGTAGCCTATGTGACATATACCAATACACACAGCGCCATCTATACCAATACTTTTGTTTTTCCTCGGGAATATCAATTTTTTCCGGGTTAAAAAGTATCCTATTATTTAATCCGGACTTCTAACTTTACGTCTGCAAACATTCAAAGCAATCGGTTGAAAGTTACGGCGTGAAGGTGGAACAAACAAACAAACAAATTCACTTTCAGATTTATAATATTAGTAAGGATTTATTTCAACTTCATACAACAAGTGTGTATAGGTGGACTTAATGCCTTAGGCATTGTCTCCCAGTCCACCTTTAAGCAGTGCAGAGATGAAAGTAGCAGGTGATTTAAACCTTTGTAAATAGGCAATTCTTATTCTATAAAAAAATATCGTCCCATATAAGGAAAGAGTCTCCGGTATCGTGAGATTTGTGGGTGTTTCGTACAGGAATCGGACCTGCGTCACTTTGCGCAGGCGATTTGGAGATCGCAGTACTAAAAGTTCAGGTGTATCAGAGAGCGCTGCTGCCCGGTTTTTTGGCAAATGTGTAGTCACTTAGTCGGGTATACGACACGCGCGGGAAGAGCAGGGGTGGCCAAATGATACAATAATTACGTATATAAAAATACTTACCAACATTAACTGCAAAAATTTCATTATCTCCCACCTCATTCACTCTGGCACAATTCAAATCGTTTTCAACCCTATCCTCTTCAACTTTAGGCACATTTTTCTTCGACAACTCAGCTATAGGAGTGTCAGAATCCGTATCCTCTTTGCTTATCACCTTTCTCTTTCTTTTGCCTTTCAAAGTCATTTTTTGTCTCTTTCTTTTTGGTCGAAGTTCATTTTCATGTGAATTGTTAACTATAATATTGGAATTCGTTCTGAAAATATCTTTGTAGTCATCTGTAATGTAAAAAAAAAATATATAAATAAATATAAAGTCACGCGGTGTGCTTGGTCTTGTATAACAAGATGAGTGTGAGTGAGTGTGTGTGAGCGTGAGTGAGTGAGTGAGTGTGAGTGAGTGTGAATGTGTGTGTGAGTGTATGTGAGTGTGAGTGAGTGTGTGTGTGTCTTTTTTTTATAGAGGTTGGGAAATACTTTTACGTATCATCAGGACCAGTTAAGTGGCCTGGTATGTCGGTCTCTGATGTCAATACCGACTAAAAACCTCTTTCTCCGGCCTCTTGCTCCCTACGGAAACCGCCGTTAGGCATTACTTTACGGGAAAAGGATCTATCTATTGTGGTTCTTTCCAAAAGGTCATTGCTCCTTCTTACGAGTCGTTAGTTTTAGCTTTCTTTCACTCTGCAGAACGGAGATCTTGGAGAACTTTAGTTGCATTCCAAGCCGCTTTCGATGACAGCATTGCCTCGACCAAAGTTTCAAATTTCTAAATCGTTGCGCAACGCGTTAAAACGCGGACACACAAAGAACAGAAAACCGACGTGAAGCAACGCTTGCGTTGTGTTTCGTCGTGTGAGTGAGGTTGCCAGAGGCCCAATTACCCTCCCCTTCCCCAAACTCCCCAATTCCTGGAACCCCAACGATCCTCAAACTCCTAATCCCCAAAAGGCCGGTAACGCACTTGTAACGCCTTGGTGTTTCGAGTGTCCATGGGCGGCGCCGATGCTTATATTTAAAAAAAAAACGCCCCACACTAGGATTTTCTCCTGTGTCGTGGGTGCGTTTACAAACATACAAGTTCACATACACATGACACCCAGATCCGAAACAACAATTTGGGGATAACACAAAGTATTGTTCCGTGCGGGAATCGGACCCGCGACACGTTGCACGGCAGCCGGTTGCCCAGCCACCGCACCAACCGTGCAGTCAAATTGGATTGGGCCTAAAAACCTTAGCTCTCCTCAAAAAACAATGTATTTGAAGAGCAGAAATGTTTACTCACCTTCAATGGTATCGTCAAAATTGTCATCACAATGTGGACTATTTGGTTTATCTTCTGACTCAGTCTTTATTGTAACCGGCTTGAAAATATCTGAAACGAAATAAGCAAACATTACAATAATATATTTTTAAATTGGTGTTTACATTTTTGCGGTCACTAGATGGCGCTAAGATAGTATAAAGTCACCTTTGTTCTATAGAATATTTTTAAAAGATTAAAAAAAAGAGCTTCTTGTTTTGTTTCAGCTTCCTGTATGTATGGGTACGCGCACAAACGCGCGATTATCTTTATTATTGATCAAATTTATATATTTGCTAGAAAAGTAGTACATTAGATATAATACAATATTAATAATCTGTCTTTTTTGTGTCTTTAGGCTTAATTCATTCTGTCTCCTGCTGTAATTCTTCTAATTTAATCTCTGAATTATGAAATGAAAAATCCACAACATTTGTTCATACAGAAGTAGTCTCTAAACATCGGAAGTAAGGTCTATAATGGTGTAAGTGGAGTTACCGGTGACCGCTTGAATCTGAACAAGTTAAGGTATAGAACGTGTGTCGTGGTGGCCCGGAGGCTTAAGACGCCCGCTTCTCATGCATGAGAGTGCGGTTTCGAAACCTACCAACAGCAAGTACCAATGTTGAGTTTTTCCGAGTTTTACTTATGTACTTTCTAAGATTATCTAGACACCACTGACAAACAGTGAAGGAAAACATTGTGAGGAAACCTGGACTTATAATTTGTAATTATAAGTTTGGAATCGCCAACCCGCATTGAGCAAACGTGATGATTAATGCTCCTTCTCTGTGTGAGAAGAGGCTTTGCTCAGAAGTGGGCATTTATAGGCCGTTGATGAAGGTATAGATGGATGGATGAACACAATACCTTTTCTGCTGCTACAAAAAGCAACAAAATGCCGCTCCGCCTCTTCGACTTGTTTGCGGAAACTACAAGCATCTCTCAAGTGCCCTACACAGAGGTCACATACCATCCTACTGGGACCCCACTCTGTGATGTATGACATCTGAAAAGTAAAAAAAAAGTCAAAATTAAAAAATATTACATAACTTGTTTTTGTATTGTAACTTTCGTGAGACATACTAAATAAATTATTATGTTTTCGGCTTACTCACGTAATATTTTGACGAGGAACTCGACTAGTTTCAAGCCTTGCTAGAGGCTCATATTCATGAGCACTGAGCAACATTTCGCGACTTGCGACGCGGCGACTGTCAGTAGCAGCGCGACAGTCGCCGTGTCGCGGGTCACGAAATGTTGCTCATGAATATGAGCAGAAAACATAATAATAATTTTTTCATTCAAATTGTTCAAATTGAAAAATTAAATGTAATAATCATTTACGTTTTATTAAATACTAGCGACCCACCCCGGCTTCGCACGGGTGCAATATGCATGTATTATACATATAAACCTCCCTTAAACTGTCATACACCAAGCGGTCACCGGTGACCGCGACCTATTGTTCTTTAATTGTGTCTATAAAAACGGTACTCGACGAGTTAAGAATAACTCTATCTATTAAAAAAAACCGCATCAAAATCCGTTGCGTAGTTTTAAAGAGTTTTTTTTGTAAGAACCCCTCTCATTAAAAGGTGAAGGGAGGCCTTGACCTTTTTTCCACCTCCAGAACTACCACTGCTGTCTATCTTCTGCTACTCTCATCCAGTGAACACCTGCTACTTTAATGATGTCATCTGTCCAGTGTGTGTTTGGTCTACCCCTTTTTCTGTGGCTCAATGGTCCTAACCATGATGTTGCTATTAGTGTATTTTTTTTTTATTTTGTTTAGTTTTAAACAAAACGTTGCCCCACACTAGGATTGTCTCCTGTGTCGTGGGTGTGTTTACAAACATACAATTTCACATGCACAATGATACCCAGACCCGAAACAACAATATATGGATCACATGTTGTTCCATGCGGGAATCGAACCCGCGACACGTTGCACGGCAGCCGGTTGCCCAGCCACCGCACCAACCGTGCAGTCAAAACCGCACCAACCCGTATTAGGGGCCGTTCAAATATTACGTAAGCAGACTATTTACAATTATTTACCCTCCCCCCCCATCCCCCTTGTCAGCAAAAGTAAGCAAAGATCTCACCCCCTCCCCCTTTGCTTACGTAAACATTTTAAATTACATCTTTTTATATTGTAATTTTAATATTCTCTTAGATACCATTATGTCTAGTTCCTTGTCGGTCTTTGCTTGTAATTTATAATTTCAATATGAGGGTTGCCATTTGTGTAAAAAAGTAAATAACTATCGATGACGTAATCATCACCTAGACTCCCCTACCCCCCATGGTGCTTATGTAATACTTGAATGTATATTTATTATGTGAAACAAAAGTTTGTTGAAAATTAAAATGTCTTCCTTCTAGCTTTGACACTTGCGAACTCACTTGCGAACTTACATCTTCAGTTATTGCTTCATGATCTATCGCAAAAATTTTTTTTTGTCTGTTTCAATATTTAACTTTTTCATTTACGCAGAAAATATGTATTTTTAATATTGTATAGTACTCACACCATATTAATCTATTTATTTAAAATCCTAAATGTGAGGACTTAGTTAAAGAGTTATTTTTATCCATTTTTATAAGCTGTAAGTCCCCATGAATTATACCTAAATAAATAAAAAATACTAAGATTGTTTCATCCAGTTTCAGTAATTGTTGACCACAAGTAATTTTTAAATAATATTAATTTGCTTATGCTCAAGGTACAATATTATAATCGTCTAGATTATTTTATTAATGGCAGTTATGTTTTCTGCCACAGATTTAACTATAACTAATGGACATAGTAGATGTCGGGTGTCACCCACGGAGCAGTCAGTCCCCCCCCCTACGCCTTTTTTTTTTTTTTTAAGCGGGGAAAATCATCGAATGACTGCTCCCGCCTGGGTGAGGCGGAAGGGAGTGTCAGACTCTTACTGACTAAAAACCACCCCATTCCTTCTCCTGCATGTCGAGCCGGAGCCCCGGTTACCCGTTAGGTTCTCCGCCTAGGTATGCCACGGTGGATAATAATAATAAGTCCAGTAAGATAAGGTAAAACCATAAACAATTATGCTTTGTAATATAGGGGCTGAGCAGTGAGTGAAACAATCTGGGAGTTGGTAATATTTCTAATAATACCTCATGGGATAATTCAGATGAGACCCCTAATGAGGTCTAATCAGACCTCATTACAATTGCCAATTAAATTCTAACACAAATATTAAAAACCCAAAAGAAAACCTATGAACATTGTCTTTGTTAATATTTTTTATAATTTGAGAAGCTAAAGATGTGTAGGCATAATATTTTTTTTATATATATATATTTTGGGCCGACGTTTGACCACTATCCCACTATATTTTATGAATTGTAGAATGTTAAAGGAGAACAACATCAATAACAATTTTTTTTAGCATAGCCCTTTGTTTATTAACTTATTTTGATAATATGCTCACCGAAATCCCAAAGCACTCTCGTAACATTTCATGATAGACCTCTTTGCTTCCGGCCTCCGTGATGTAAGAAGCGGTGATATCCCACGTTCCGCTTGCAGACAAACAGCACCGGCACACATCGGGCTCCGAACTCCAACTCTCAACATTATCTAAATCCATCGTTTTTATTTATAAACAAAACAAAAAATATCAATTAAAAAAATCGTCTGATTTGTTTTGTTTGTCAATTTTGAGTGCCATTTGACAATGACAATGGGTACGTTTGTTTCTGAACGATTTTACATAGATTTGTACATGGAATAGTAATAGTCTTTACTATAGTAATAGATTTGTAATCTGTTTTTGGCTAAATAATGATGAAGTCATTTGATTTAAATGGACGCTTTCCCTTGCGATTGAATGGACATAGTTCAGAAATAATAAAAATGATAAACAGAAGCTCGGATGCTATTTTTGAACGAAGTGAACAGCTGACATTGTTTGTTGACAGTTCATAACAAGCATGACAGTTAATTAAAATTGGCATTTTCATTTTTGTGGCGGTAACCGGTATAACTTCTACTGTTTTTTGGTATTTCCACCTTTATTAGTTGTGTTGAATGTACGTGCAGCGAACATTTTGTACATTCGCTAAAAGTACATTAAATAAATTAAAATTCTCTACAAAATCTTTTGAGATTCACAAATTAACCATGCGTAACGTTGAAATTAAAGCAAAGATAACCGACTATGAAAACATCTGCAAAGTAGCAAACGAGTTGAGCGGCGGGCCGCCTACAATCATAAAGCAGGATGATACGTTTTACAATGTCCAAGAAGGTCGGTTAAAGATGAGAATTTACGCCGATTCTGCTGCCACTCTAGTGAGATATGATCGTGACGATGTGGAAGGCCCAAAACTGAGTAATTACGAGTTATTAGATTTTACCGTCAATGAGAGCGAAAAAGCTAAACTTTTGGATGAAATGCTCAAGAAGTGCTTGGGTGTTCGTGGAAGAGTTGTTAAAGAACGGTAATGTTAATTAAATATGTACATTATTTTAATACCTAAAGTCAATTTTATTACGGACTGCTTAACCTAAATCTTAAAAAAATTACCCTTCCTACAATCGGGTCATAATAACTCCTGTATATGCCTGTCAAGTTTCTAGCATAGATATGGTAAACCCTCTTGTAGAGGAGTGTAGTCCAACATTTGTTAATGACATGGATTGTTGTTGTTGAAATGCCATCTGCTGAAGAACGAAATTATATATAGGTATACGAAATATAATACCTACAGAATTCTTACTCCTACTCTGCTCTTTTTCCGAAAGTGTAGGCAGATACAAATTCTGTAAAATTATTTTAAACCCTTAAGTTCTCCATTAAACCTCATTGTAATAAGGCCTTATGCGATACACATTTCCTATTTTGTCTATCAACGTTACATTTAATTTCAGCAAACTCTACATGGTTGGCCAAACCCGAGTGCATATAGACACAGTACAAGACTTAGGCGACTTTATGGAGCTGGAAGTGGTACTCCGACCAGAACAGACCTTGGAAGAAGGTCAGGGTATAGCCCAGGAACTTAGAACTAAATTAGGAGTAAAGGAAGAAGATCTCATTGACTGTGCCTATGTTGATATGTTGCTTAAAAAGTAATTGTTAATTGTCTCTTGTCTTTGTTATGTTCTTTATTTGAATTTTGTTTTGCTTTTTTTTTGGTTTTATTCAATGGCAGATTTGAGAAAAATGTTTTCTTTTTTTTGTTAGCTTGTAAGAATATGAATACTTTGTTAAAAAATGTATTTTTGTAAGGTTTGGATTATTATTAAAAACTGTTTGGTTATTTTATAAAAATAATCATCACAATAAAATGAATTTGCTTTTGAGTTTGAGTTTATTTTTTGTATTTACTCCATTTTAATTAACTGTAATGTGAATGTACATAAAGTATGTAAAGATCATATCATAGTTGGGGGTACTAATCAGAGTCAACCCATTTTTGTGTTATGATTATGAGTTCCATGTGAAATAGGCAAGGCTTGTCAGACTGCTACTGGAAACCCAAACTACTTTGCTTGTGAATCTTTGACCCACAAATCTTGAACTAGATAATATATAATTGATCAATTGGATATATAAATCTTAGGTTTTATGATTTGAGTGACAATGACAATATTTAGTTCCTTTTTGGAAGCAACCATATTTATTATATAGTAAAACTCAAAAAACATGATTTTTCCAATTAGAAGACTTCGTAAACCGTAATTTTTTCTTTTAAAACAAAATATTGTCCTAAAAGAAAGAATTACGGTTTCAAAACAACACTATATAGTTTCAAACATGAAACGAAACGGAAACGTCAACAATGCAATGTAGACACTAGACGCCAGCACGTTAACCTACCCCAACCTGTCAAATTACTACGGCCAACTTTCAACCTTATTGTAAACCGTTAAGGTTAAAAATCAATTAAACAATATTGACAGTTTATTATAGAATGATTTGCTAGCGTCTACAATTACGGCATTGGAGATTTGGAGTTTTTCGACAACAATTCCCAATTTTAATCATGTTTCTTTAAAGATTGAATAAAATAGTGCACAATGGAGACTAGGAAGAGTAATACAACGTATGGAGAATGCCGCTGTTGCTTAACAAAGGGAAACCATAGAGATATAATGAAAGAATATTATTTTAACGGCATACGAGAGGTTTACTTCGATATTTTTCTGGAATGCTTCAATTTATTCGTAAGTTTTGTATATTTATATGTAAAGAGGATAATTATGAGACTGTTGACAAAGTTTGGTTGTCATATTCATGTTACACTGGCTTTAAATAACATGTTTTGATTTCGTTGTTGTGTTGATGTAATCGTTTTGTTTATTTTTATTTATTTGGACTTAGTACGAAAACACACATGTACAGGTGGACTTAATGCCTTGGGAATTGTGTGACAGTCGACCTTAGTCGTCAGTTTATTGCAGTTCATTTCTCTTTATATTGTGTCTATCGTTATTACCATCGAGTATCTTTCTTGCTTCTTTTCTTTATGAATATACAGTTTAAACTGTCAAACACCAAGTGGTCACCGGTGACTGCAACCTATTGCAATTTAATTGTGTCTATAATAACGGTACTCAACGAGTTAAATGAGCTAATAGCTGCACTGTAGGACTGACTGATAAACATATTTGTGTACCTAGGTTTCTTTATTTGTAAAAGCACTCTATTGCTCTAATTTAATTTAAAGTAACCTGATACTGGAAAGGGATTGTTACTCTGGTTTAGACATATAGAAAGGAAAGATGAAAGTAGATTAACGAAGGAAGTATACAGAGCCAATAAGAATGGGGCCATCCCCATTCTTTACTATACCTCTTTCTTTCATCCGTCTAGGGTGACCTCTACCACCGTTGGCAGAGGCAGCATAGTTACCATAGTTTACCAGCCGTCTAAATATTTCATTTCATTATATCCACCCAAAGGTTGTCTGGTAGAAATCACTGTAAGTGATAAGACCGCCTTTGTGCCCATTATTATTTTTATTTATGTTTGTCATTTCCTTTTCTGTATGTACTTTATTATTAATGGTGTACAATAAAGTTGAAAATTGAACTATCGAGGGTCGTGACAGATTTGCAGTCGTCGGTCAACTTTAATTCAGCGAACAATATTGATAACGTGAAACGTATTGCGGAGATCAAGTTGGAGTTTGACATTTCTGCGTCTGAGACTAAGCGGATGTTCCAAAGTGAAATAGATAAGCTGAATCAGAATGCTCGTCAGTGCAATATTGAGATATGCAATCTACCTGAAAAACGTGGTGAAAATCTATTTGTCATCTTCGAGTCGATTGCGTCTATCATCAACATGCCTATAAAACAACAAAACATCGTGGCTATTCATCGTGTCCCACACGCACACACACAGAATTCACGTCCTAAAAATATTATAGTAAAGTTGACCTCCCAGATACTTCGCGATAACATACTGAGCGCTTATCGGCTGTCTAAAGGTATCACATCGGATCGTGTGGGTCTCGCAGGCACGCAATGTCGTATTTACATGAACGAGCACCTGACGCTTCGTAATAAAGAGTTATTTCGGAAATGTCGCGAAGCTGCAAAAACATTCCATTATAAATATGTATGGGTTCGTAATGCCACTATATTGGTCAAGGAAACTGATGATTCATCAGCCTTTGCAGTCCGCACGGAAGATGATATACATAAAAAGTTCAAATCTAACAATCCCTCCAATAAAATCATCGATAAAAACCCATCTTAAATTATATTGTTTGTATAACCTTCCATTTAAAAATAAAACATTGTTCTGTATTGTTTTTTATCGCTTGTATGGTACGTTCAAAGGTGTCATTATTTTTTTGCTCCATATTTTAAAATACTGTTTCCAATATAAAATAAAACTTGATAACATTGCACACACGCGTCACGGTCCTGACACCGGTGGTTACATTGTTGCTGGATACTATAAACAGGGCCGCGCCGACCCCCGGCAGCGCCTGTGTGCGGAATCGATGGAGCGCCTCTTTTTTACCGACTTCAAAAAAGCAGGAGGTGCTATGTTCGGCTGATTGATTTTTTTTGTTTGTTTGCACATTACTCCGCCATTTGTACACCGATTTCCAAAAATCTTATTTTGTTTAAAAGGGTATACTCTCGAAATGGTCCCATTTCCATGAGCTCAGAATCTGATGATGGGATCCTAGGGAAACCGAGAGGAACCGAGGAGAACTTTTGTAAGTGTAGTGTTTAAAAATCGTAATTGAAAAACAAAATAGACGCAGTACTCGCCCATAGAATTTTCAAAAGTTCCCCTTGGTTTCCCTTGGGTCCCATCATCAGATCCTGACCTCATGGAAATGGGACCATCTCGGGAGTATACCCTTTCAAACAAAACAAGAATTTTCGAAATCGGTTCACATATGGCGGAGTACTGAAAAAAAAACAATCAGCCGAACATACGTACCTCCTCCTTTTTTAAAGTCAGTAAAAAGTTCAATGCGCACCTTACACACACTTTCAATCAAATGATTGTTCAATTGTTTTGTTTTAGCTTGACTCTCTCGTTCGTTAAAATCGGGGAATCCCTGTGACCCTACTCCTATAGCCTCGCACGCATCGCATCGGGTTGCGTTCACAAACTCACTCATACTTACTCATACAAAGTCGGCGCCTTTATGATTCAATATAACTAGTAGGTCCCTACTTTATCTGTGGTTCAAAAGATCTGCCGCCGTTTTAACGTTGATCTTGTAACTCGTAAGTAATGTAAACTAAAACCCTAAGGTCCCTTTTCACCAACGAAACTGATCACGATTACACCTAACAAAACTGATTTAAAGCGTCTAATCGAATTTAAAGCGTTTAAACGAAGTTACAGCTTCATTTTACATTTCACCGCTACAAACAGAAACTAGTTTACACGGAACTCAGTACAGAAAACACAGAACACAGAACTTAGGTTACTTTAAACTTAGGTTACGTGTAACTGAGTTTTTACAGAGCTTAGTGAAAAGGGACCTAAGTGTAAAATGAAACCATAAACGTGATTAATAATAAACATAAATATTGAGAGACTTGTTTAATAAGCGTAATATAAGTTTTGTTGTATACAAGGCCTATGTTGCGCCTATTGTACCTACTTACTTATCGATACTCTACTACCAAAAATATAATAATTAAGGTAACAAAAATAATTCAAGTAGAGGTGGTGGCGCGACACGGCGCCCCTATTGTCTTGGCGCCTGTGTGCGCCGCACACTTCGCACACAGGGGCGGCGCGGCCCTGACTATAAACACTTAGATGTATTGTACGTTTACTCGCTGTTTTATGTTTCCGATGTAATGTTGATGGATTGCCGTCGGAGTTGTGAGTATTGGTTTTTCTTTATTAAAGGTGTGAGTCTGGGATTTACTTTTGTAATTAATATCATTATACCCCCACGTACTGAAAATGGCTGACAATGACAAACTTTCCGTTTATTACCAAAACTGTCGAGGAATCAGGACGAAACTAAATACCTTATATTTAAATATTTTATCACATACATATGACGTCATTATCTTGACCGAGACCTGGTTGACGCCTGACATAGCCGATAGTGAATTTATTGATCATCGCTATTTGGTATTCAGATGTGATCGCAACCGTGCACTCACTAATAAAAGGGATGGAGGTGGTGTCCTTGTGGCCGTGGCGAAGGAATTAAAACCGACCTACCTCTCATTTTTGCCCCCGTTAGCATTGCCGGAACATGTTATAGTGAAAATACCCTCTAGTGATAATAGATATCATTTAATTTGTGCGACCTACATACCTCCGGGCTCTGATGAGAGAATGTATTTGACTTTTCTTGATTCTCTGTCTGTTTTATGTGACAACCCTCATATTGATAATATTATTTTAACAGGTGACTTCAACTTGCCTTTGATTAATTGGAAAAAAAGTCAACTTATATGAAGTATGCTTTTAACAATAAAAACACAGATATAAATTGCAATCTGATGAACTTCTGCTCTCAACAATGTCTAAATCAGTATAACCATGTATTTAACTCGGTGGGACGCATCCTGGATTTATTTTTTGTAACACTTACACCGTTTTGTTTGCCCCGGATACTCCCCTCTTACCTGTAGACACTTTTCACCCTCCTTTCTATGTACACGTTTCTATCTCCTGCCCCTCACACAACTCCAAGCGCAATGCTAATGGGAGACTCAATTATCACAAAGCTAACTACAAAAATATAAATGCGGAGTTAAGTAATGTTGATTGGAACTATTTACTCGATAATTTGGCACCTAATGATTGTGTATCTGCATTCTATGAAAAACTTTATGAAGTAATAAAAACGCACACGCCAGTAGTTAGACCTAAAAATGTGAATTACCCGATATGGTTCTCTGGGTCTCTTATAGCTATATTTAAATGTAAAACTCGTGCTTGGTGTAGATGGAAGAGGTACGGGAATCTGCGCGATTATGAGATGTTTTCCATCAACAGAACTAAATTTAAAAAAGTAGCTCATCAATGCTATATTAACTATATAAACTCTGTTGAGGACAATGTTGCTACTAATGTTAAAGCTTTTTGGACTTATGTTGCTAGCCGTAGAAATATTAATAAAATCCCAACATCGGTTCATTACAATCATGCATCATCTAATGATCCTATCACTACCTGTAACTTGTTTGCTAAATTCTTTCACTCGGTGTATGAGCCCTCTTCCTTTGACTGCGACTCATGGATGCCGCCCAATGATGAGGCCGAAAATGATATCAACCTGTGTAAACTGCAACTTCCCGTAGATGCTATACGTAAAGAATTGAAATCCCTTGACCCATCCAAATCCAGGTCCGGGCCCAGATGGAATCCCATCAGTCTTTTTAAAAAACACAAGTGATACAATTTGCTATCCCTTATTTATCATATTTAATAAATGTTTATCGTATGGCGTCTTTCCTGATACTTGGAAACATGCAAATATTGTTCCAGTTCATTACAGTGGATCCAAACATGACGTTACGACTTATCGGCCCATATCTATACTGTCTGCATTCTCTAAACTCTTTGAGAGACTAGTACATAACGTGGTTTATCCGACCATACATAATGTCCTCATTGGTGAGCAGCATGGATTCGTTAGGGGTAGATCTTGTATTAGCAATCTCCTAATTTTCACGTCTTATCTATTTAAAGGTATTGATTCTAGACAACAAATTGATGCAGTCTACACAGATTTCCAAAAGGCGTTTGACAAAATTGATCACAAATTGCTACTTAATAAAATCGCTTACAATGGGATTAGGGGGGATCTTTTGCGATGGTTTGTGTCTTATATAACTAATAGAACGCAAAAAGTTGTGATAAGTGGCTTCGAGTCCAGCTGTATTTCGGTCACGTCGGGTGTCCCTCAAGGTTCCATTCTGGGTCCTTTACTCTTCATTTTATTCATTAATGATATAAAAATCTGTTTTCAACATTCTAAGTTTCTACTTTATGCAGATGATTTAAAGGTATATAAAGTCATAAATAACAGGCAGGACTGTATTAATTTCCAGCATGACCTAAATCGTTTTTCAAATTATTGCTTCACCAATAAGCTTTTTCTCAGTCTTCCTAAGTGTCACGTTATAACATTTACCAAAAAGAAAAATAAAACTGAATTTAATTACTCCCTTGCTAATACTTTCCTGGTTAAAGTTAATTGTCTTCGTGATCTTGGGGTCCGGTTGGATTCGAAGCTACAGTTAAATGTTCATATAGATGGAATAGTTAGTAAAGCATACCAAATGTATGGTTTCGTTATGAGGGCCTCTAGGGAGTTTCGTAGACCTTCCACCTTTTTGTATTTATACAAATCTATAATTAGACCTCAATTGGAGTTTGCAGTACCTATATGGAACCCGCTGTACAAGAAATATAATGATACTTTGGAGATGGTACAACGCAAATACATTCGTGCAGTTGGTTATAGATGTGATCGCAGAAGATCCTCATACTATCCATTACTTAAAAAGTATGATCTTCTAACATTACAGTCGCGACGAACGTTCCTGGACATTATGACTCTGTTTAGTGTGTGTCGCAATGGGTTCGATTGTCCTGACTTGATTAATAGTATATACTACCTGGTTCCTCGCACAGCTTATATACGGGAGGTGCGCGATCGGCGTTTGTTTGCCAATAACTATTGCAGAACCAATGCTGGCTCACGTTCGCCTCTTCATCGCATGGTTGAGGCTTACAGCGGTGAGTTTAACGGAATTGACATCCTATTTTTGAGTAAAAACGTTTTTAAGAGGCAAATTCGGACATCTCTTATGGATCGACAGTCTGTCTGTGACGCTGTGTGTGTGCGAAATTGCAAGAATTGTAAAAATTGTTAAAATTTGTTGGTGACCATTTTAATTATTCGTGTAAGTGGTGCATCGTAAATCTATGAAGGCTATTGTCTTTGTTTCACATTAGTTTATTCTATTTGAAAATGTAACTATATTTGTGTCACTCTAGATCTAATATAAAAAGTAATCTGTGGAGAACGTAGTGGGTAACATATTTGCCAAGTATAATGTGTAAGCTGAATTATGTATATTTTGTAATATGTTACTGTTTGTTTTTCCTTAAATAAATAAATAAATAAATAAATAAATAAAATGTAAATTGTAAATAAAGATTCTTTTTTAAATAAATCCTATGTAATTCCACTCTATTCCAGCTATCAACGAATGCACTCCTATCTACACTAATTTGTACAACATGTGTGCAACGTCTCCGGGATGCCATCAGCTTCCGTATGTTGGTGGTCAGCACCGAGAGACAGCTGCTGCAAACTGTGGAGGGCGAGGATAAGGACACGGTGTTTGTTAATGGTATGATATTTTTCTAAACGAGACAAAGGAGAAAATCCTAGTGTTTGGAAATCCTCGTTGTCGAAAAGTATTACACTGTACACACGGCCACACATCAATCTATACAAAACCAGTTTACCCTGGTGTCGCGTCGCATCATCTTTCCGCACATTTAACGTTCAGTTTATACTGGTTATGTAAAGCTCGATGTGTAGCCGTGTGTACCATGTGACATTAAGTGCCGTAATGTACACCTCTGCCTATTCCTTCGGGGATAAAAGGCGTGATGTTATGTTATCCTTTATCAATATGTAGTCTCTCAGTCAGGTATACGACACTCGATTGAAGAGTAGGGGTGCTAACAGATATATTGTCCTCTACCGCCATTTTGTCCTATTTTATACAATTTATGTACATTCCAGTACGCGTAGAAGTTAATGAATCGACAATGGACATAAAAGAAGAAAAGGAGGTTGGAACTGATGTTAAGGAGGAGCTGGAGTCTGGTGACGAGGGGGACACAGGGGACGCAGATATATGTGACTCTGATTACGTACCCGATGGTAAGTATTACGAAAAAGTTTATCTACTATCACATCACTAAATTCAACTCACAGATACTGACCTGGGAAGGTTACATTCACACTTGTATGTACTTTTTCACCCACTTACTCACGTATTCGACGATGGGGTCATCCCAACGTCGTGGCTGGGGGCGTGAGGACGCACGATCCAGGCCGATGCCTGTCTCGCCGGATTTACTAACTGCCTGCAACAGTAGGCGAGGGGTTTTTTTTTAAGGGGGGAAAATCATCGAATGACTGCTCCCGCCTGGGTGAGGCGGAAGGGAGTGTCAGACTCTTACTGACTAAACACCACCCCGTTCCTTCTCCTGCATGTCGAGCCGGAGCCCCGGTTACCCGTTAGGTTCTCCGCGACTCCGAATGGCAGGCGAGGGGTTGGAGTAGTCGGGCCTCTTGTGGGGCCCGATGTAGATAGAGTTAAGTGGTTTGCGCCGCTATGAGCCGCGCTCGTGTCATGTCGTGGTGGCCCGGAGTTTTAAGACGCCCGCATCTCATGCATGAGGGTGCGGGCTCGAAACCTACCAATGGCAAGTACCAATGTGACTTTTTCCGACTTATATGTACTTTCTAAGATTATCTAGACACCACTGCCAAACAGTGAAGGAAAACATCGTGAGGAAACCTGGGCTTATAATTTCTAATTATAAGTTTGTAATCGCCAACCCGCATTGAGCAAGCGTGGTGATAATGCTCAAACTTTCTCCGTGTGAGAAGAGGCTTTGCTCAGCAGTGGGCATTTATAGGCTGTTGATGAGCCGCGCTCTAGCCGGACAAGCCCGGCGAGCTGCGAGCTGTTAGCGGCGCGCGGTCGAGTCCGGTGAAGACGGAGTCTCTACCAACCCGACTAGAGCGGGCGGGCGAGAGACTCACTCAAGCACTCACTAACTCACTATACATGATTTACATTCTACACATACATAGTGCGAACTAGTATTTTCGCATTAACAGTTTTTCATTTTAAATATTATGCTCATTCAATGCCTGGGTGATTAGAATTGTAGGTTCAAATTGATTTATTTTCTTCTCGTTAACGTTACCGGCCTTTTAAGGATTGTTGGGGATTCGGGAGATTGGGCAGGGGGGTAATTGGGCCTCCGGTAACCTCATTCACACGACGAAACACAACGCAAGCGTTGTTTCACGTCGGTTTTCTGCTCGGCCGTAGTCTCACTCCGGTATACGGCACTATAAAACTTGCTCACAAGACGAAACACAACGCAAGCGTTGTTTCACGTCAGTTTATACAACATGTAACGTAATTAACGCACACCCTCAAATATCCCAATTAGAATATTATGTTATAATCATAATACATACACTAAATTTTTAATTTAAGTATATGCATCCTTACTGGTCTTGTCATAAGGTTTATTTTTCTTTATTTTGTATTGAATGATAGAATTTGTATGAATACAAATAAAACTGCGATTTTAAAAGTCTTATTGCTTTGACTTATGGTCCATTTTGATTTGTTTTAACAATACAGGGTTAATATGACAATAATTTCCGTAATTTTAATTATTTTTTGGATAAAAAATTACCTATGCTAAAAATTATATAAATCGATTCAGTTAACGATTCTGAACAAACTATTTTCAGGATGTGCGTTATTTAAGTTACATGTTGTATATACGGCACTGAAAATATAATTTTCTTGCTTGCTCCCGACCTTTGACGTACCTACTTAAAAAACGGACCTTATTTTATTCCCAATGCAAGTATCGAATGTATTTAGAAGAGACATTGTATCCTTTTGCAGACAATACCTCAGACACACAGGACAAGCCACTAGTGGACTTCGAAGTCCCATTAGTGGACCGCGAAGCCGCCTTACTGGGCAGGTTCGCTCGTGTCAAACTACCGCCGCTGCCCACGCGACAGACGTTGCCGGAGATCTGTCCTGAGTACTGCCGGCAACTTGATTTGTTGCAAAGTAAGTTATAAATTTTTTATACTTGATAGGTCGATGTTTGACCACCATCTCGCCTGGTGGTAAGCGATGATGTGGCCGACGATGGAGCACGCCTACCTATGAGCAATCTATTCACTCGGGACTTGAATACAGCCAAGTCATATTTTTTATAATATTGTACTCATAACATAACATCACGCCTTTTATACCCGAAGGGGTAGGCAGAGGTGCACACAGAAGTAACACCCACTTTTCACTATTTATGTTATGAGTCCCATGTAATAGGGGGTGAGCCTATTGCCATATACCCGGCACATTTCCAGACTCCGTGCTACTACTGAGAATTTTTTTAAATCCTGTAATACCTACTTTGCCCGTCCCAGGAATCGAACCCAGACCCCTTTACTCGGCAGTCGTACTTGCGACCACTCGGCCATCGAGGCATTTATTATACTCTTATTAACACAAAAAAAGATTAAATATTCATTTTTATTTTTTATGGGATAACCCGGTAAACGTGCTGACGGATCACCTGATGGTAAGCAATCGGCGTCCCCCATGGACACCTGGAACACCAGAGGCGTTACGAGTGCGTTACCGACTTTTTGGGGATTAGGAGTTTGAGGATCGTTGGGGATTCAGGGATTGGGGAGATTGGGGACGGGGGAGAGGGGTAATTGGGCCTCCGGTAACCTCACTCACACGATGAAACACAACACAAGCAAACATGTAAAAATTATTCCAATGCTTTTTTTTCACCCATGACATTCCGGCTCTACATCATCGCAAGACCACCAACCACCACCCAGCAGTCAGCATAATCATTTTTTTCCCATTTCAGATTTAAAAATAGTGCCAAAGAACCTAATGAACTTACTGGAAGAACAAGATAGTAGACGAACACCTTCGAGAAAAGTCTTCATATCAGAGAAATTAGCTCACATTACGAATGCTGGGACTATTCTAGAATGTTCCAACGTAACCCCTTTCAAGAGCAAAAGTCGACTAGGATTCCCCTGCTTCTTCTGCAGAAATGTCTTCGAAAACCACGAAAAACTTCGCGAACACACATCTCAACATAAAAAATCAGAAATCAGACATATACTAAAAACCTATGGCCCAGAATGCTTAGTCGTATACGTTGATACTACAGACCTGAAATGCACACTATGCGACAAAAATATGCAGAATTTAAACAATTTAAAATCCCACCTGACTAATGTTCATAAAAAGAAATTGTACCCAGAGTTTACTGATAGAGTGATCCCGTACAAACTGTCTGATTCGGGAGTGCATCAGTGCCAAGTTTGTGGGTTTAATTTCGAAACGTTTGGCTCTATAGAACGGCATATGAATGTGCATTACCGAAACTACGTTTGCAAGGAATGTGGGACTGGCTTCGTTACGAAATACAGACTAAAAGTTCATACAAAGAGTATGCACGCTGGCGGCAACTATCCATGTGAAATTTGCGGTAAAGTGTTCTCAACGACGCAAAAATACAAGAATCATGTCAACACCGTACACAAGCTATTAAAAAGGTTTAAATGTACGAAGTGTCCTGAGCGCTTCGCCGAGTACTTTAGGAGGCAGAAACATTTGGTACAAGTACATGGCGTGGCACCATTACAATACAAATGTAATGTATGTGACAAAAATTTTGATCGACGATACACACTATCGAGGCATATGAAGAGAGATCACTTAGAAGAAAGAGACTACCAGTGTGAAATCTGCACTTATAGATGTTTTACGAAGAATGAATTACGGGTACATATGGTTAAACATACTGGCGAAAGGATATTTGAGTGTTCTGTGTGTAAGAAGTCTTATGCTAGGAAGAAGACGTTAAAAGAACATATGCGGATACATAATAATGATAGACGGTTCGCCTGCGCGGTCTGTGGGCAGGCGTTTGTACAGAAATGTAGCTTGAAAGGACATTTGAAAACTCATCATTTGGAATTCAATTTGCAGTGATGCGTAAATTATATTATATTGTTTTAAAAGTGTTGTTTTATTTATTGTCTTTTTTTATTAAATAACTTTGCCCCTCACTAGGATTTTGTCCTGTGTCGTGGGTGCGTTTACAAATATGTAATTTTACATACACATGACACCCAGACGCGCAACAACAATTTGTAGATCACATTAAGAGTTGTATAATAGTTTTAATATGAAACTAATAAACTATATTCTTAGGCTGGCAACGCCAACCATCAGCGCGACACTGAAACCAGTCGTAAGAATTTTTATTATTATATTTTAAGTTGTATAATATTTATTCATACTTAAACTAGTTTATTTTTTTTTTTGTTGAAATAAGTATTTGCTTATTCCTTCTATATTCATAAATAAAGAGAATCAACAAAAAAACGTAATAAAAAATATAGCTATGGTTGGTTATGGGGCTCTCGTTCGTTCTTCAGTTTTTTTTTTATATTCGACGGCCCGATGTTTGACCACTATCAAGCCTGGTGGTAAGCGAAAATGCGGTCTACGATCACAAGCAACCTATTGTGTCAGGCCTTGAAGGTTATACCCTTCAGGAAATACAGACTCTGGCAAAGAATATAATGTACTAAAGAATATTACTGCATTGACCTAAAACTGTATGCTATAATGCAGAATACTAATACAATACAAAATTATTTAAGTACGTGAATTAATGTTTCTTGTATTTCTTATCAAAATTGTGTGCACCGCCATCTAGCGTCGAGTAGGTGTACTTTTCGACGTTTAGTTTCTGCTACACTCAAATTACTGTTGCTTTACCGGTAAAGCTCATCCCTAGTACACGTTAACCGGTAAAGTAAAAAACTACAAATACCACACTTGTGACCAATTAACCTTTTGAGCGCCAGGGTCACAAATACGTGACAAGCGAAAACTGTCCCTGAGCGCCAACGACACAAATATGTGACAAAAACAGCGGTACATTAAAACACGAAATAAACTATTAAAACATTACTTTAATGCCTATTTATTTATATACCTGTAAAATAGAAGGTCCAAAATTTATTTATTTCCATAAAACTAATTAAATTGCATTATAAATATTGAGAAATTTTACGTTAAAAGAAAGAAAATAAACTCTGAAAAAAGAATGTCCTCACACGCCAGAGTCATAACTGCGTGACCGCTAGTGATGTAGCGCATGTTGGATAATATCATTATTTCAAATCAAAGATCGATTCGAAACTTTCCTCTGGAATATATTATTTTAGGTATAATTTGGTACTAGGATAAAGCAGCATTAATTTTATAAAACCAGTCTTAAAAATCATTCAATAAGCTACATAGTCAAAAATAAAATTTAGTTGGGTCGAATTTCGATATTCACTAATCCCAACTCAAGCGCATCCCTAACGCAACCCGAATTATCAGTACCCTGTACGCCATGGTCACGACTAGACGACAATATCGTGACGTCACAAGCGCGGCGACCAGAAATTAGTGAAGTGAATGAATAATATTTATGATTAATTTACTTGTGATATCGAGTTCAAGATTCATATTAAGTGACTATTATAATGAGTGGGAATTTAATGACTACGGAAGAACTTCTTCGCATACTAGAAGGAGTTTTATATAATTTTGTTCTATTATTCAAAAGATTTATTAGTATAAGACTGATTGGTAATTGTGATAATTATATATAATCGTTAATTGTTTTAATTTGTTACTTTTTATGCCAGGTTTATAGAACTTAATATTTAAAAACATGTATACATAGTACATACTGTATAACATTTTATTAAAATTTTCTATTTTTTCATAGTTTTTATTTACCTTCTTACTTATTTCAATCATATATTTTTAAGTACCTGTTACATTCGGAATTATAAATCTGATTTAAAAAACGTGTTTCATTTATTATAAAATAATATTGTACTAGAACATCGATAAACGAGATATTACGTTGCCACATCCTTATTTCGGAAGCGAAGTAGTTATTAAAATGGCGGGCCGTCCACGCCATGGTCACAATATGAAGACAGCAGATCAAGAATAGTGTTGTACCTACGGTTATTAAATTTAAATATATTGTAGTCTCATATCTGTTATTACGGTATTATACAAGTCTGTAAATAGTGTATAACTATTACTTTAATAGGAAGAAATGTAATGTTGAATTAAATTTCAATGTTATAAGGACATTATATTTCGAAATTAAAGACGAAAATGAAAATAAAATTGATTATCGATGAAGTTTTGGAATCCCTATTTTTTTCGTAGGTATTTGCGGTGAATTTGTGGCCTGGCGTTGAGGGCAAGTTCATGCGTTTTTGCTCTGGCGTTCAAAAGGTTAAGCAACAGTTTGTAGGAATGGATATAAAACCACTGACTGCCTTGTTGGCCGAGTGGTCGCAAGTGCAACTGCCGGGCAAGGGGACTCGGGTTCGATTCAAGTATAACTGGGTTTTAAAAAATGTCTCAGTAGTAGCACGGAGTCTCGATTTGTGTCCGGTATATGGCAATACGCTCACCCCTATAACATGGGACTCATAACATAAATAGTGAAAAGTGGGTGTTACATTGTACAGTGGCATTATTAAGTGGCGTAATGTGCATCTTTGCCTATCCCTTCAGGGATAAAAGGCTAAGTTAAAGGTGTTATGAATATAAAACTCGCTCTTAACAGAGCAGTCGTGGTCACGTTGAGGCGGCCGTATGTGTCGGACGCCGATACAGCTTTAGTGCTTTCCTCACGATCTCCCGCCATCTGTCCCTTTACAGCTTTAGTGCTTTCCTCACGATCTCCCGCCATCTGTCCCTCCCGCCATCTGTCCCTTTTTGTGGATTATCTGGGGCAGTCTGACACTAGGTTTCCTGTTGCCGATTTGCAATATAAAACTACATAGTTATGAATAAAATAAAACAAAGAAAAAACTTATAACAAGGTTTATTAATTTACACAATGTGTACAATAAAAACGACTTACATGATAATTTTAACATTATATTACAACTACTTTGGTATAACAAGTTCAAAAATCCAATTGGCTTAATGCCAACAATCGCTAACCCTTATTCGTATAGATCTCAGTGCCTTTAGCCAAACGCCACTTTAGCGCTTGTCAACAGAGAGAGTAGAAATCAAAATGTATGGGGATGTATCGTTTTAGGCTCAGCATAATAATATGGCGCTTATATAGTTTATTTTTGGTCATGTGTGTCCAATAGAGTGGGCTGGTACCGAACCATTGTACAGTCATTTTTATACGGTTTTATACAAGGTGTAGTTTTGAAACCGTGACACTATTCGGGGGCATGTTACAGAAGTCACAAAGGTTGAATGTAAGAAAAAGTTTCAAGCCAATAGTGAAAAATGGTGACGTATTGTTCTGATAGTACACATTCTTAATCTTGATGACCGTACAATATAATCTATTTTTCCCACAACTACCTTCACTATGGATATTAAACGAAAACTGTAATGATTGACCTCATTAAAACCGTTTAACATAAACAATTATAATTTTTATGTATTATAGTTGTTTAAGAGGTACACTGATAGGACATATATATCACCCAAAGCTATATTAGCACCATATGGCGAGTACAAAAACTGTAGCCATTATTCATGACACATAAAAAGAAAATAGTAAAGATTGTACTATTCATAAGTATCTAAATACAATATGTATATTCTAGCATAAGTACCTAATACCATTATATTTTGTTTAATTCTACAAAAGCTTCAGCCAGTTGCCGGGATAAAAAGGTAAAATGGGGTGAATAGGGATCGAGAGGTGAATAGGAACAGTAGAGAAGTGAATGAAGACTATGAAGAATTTCCCAAAATCTTGTTTTTATAGGATAAGCTGGTAAACGAGCATACGGATCACCTGATGGTAAGCAATTGGCGCTGCCCATGGACACCTGAAACACCAGTGGCGTTACGAGTGCGTAGTAACGCCTCTGGGGATTCGGGGATTGAAGAGCCTGGAGAGGGGGTAATTGGACCTCCGGTAACTTCACTCACTCGACGAACACAACGCGAGCGTTGTTTTACGTCGGTTTTCTGTGAGACCGTGGTATCGCTTCGGTTGAGCCGGCACATTCTTGCCGAAGCATGGGTCTCCCGCACTTAGTATAATCTTACAATATTTATTCACCCCTCTTTTGTCTCTACTCACCTCTTGATCCCTATCCACCCCATTTTACGGTAGCCTATGTGTTATTCCAAACCAGATCATGATCTATCAATGCCAAATCTCATTAAGATCCGTTCAGCATTTTGCCTTTTCAGCTCATACTTGTGGACTATTGCGCTAGCTAATCTAATGGGGTCACTGTATTGACATCAGATGGCGTCAGTGTGCACATCTCGTTTTTCGTCCAATAGGGAATTGGGTACTTTCCTTAATCAAAACATAATTATTTCGACTGTTCAATACAATAAAATATTTATTTTATGATCAACTTAATTTTAATATTTTTTGCATTTTTTTAAGAAATAGGTATGCTGTTTGACGCTAAAAAAGTGACGTCACAATACACAATGTTTTTTTTTCTTGCACAACACTTTTTTACGTTTTTGACAGTTCGAAAAAAAGTATTGAATTGGACTAGTTGATAAGTACCCAATTAGCTAGTGTTACACCATTGGACGTTCAATATTTGATACATAGCGCATTGATTGGACAAAAATATCTTGCTACATTTGCGCCACCTGCAGCTGTAGCCAAATGCCGTTTAGCGCTTGTCTACATGTGGCAGTGTCATCCCCATACATTTAGTTTTCTACTCTCTCTGTAGACAAGCGGTAAAGTGGCGTTTGGCTAAAGGCACTGATTGTTTTTTTTTTAATATTCTAGGGCATTGAAAAGTCGAACCAATTTGTCTATAGCTGAGGAACCTACCCAAACATTAGGATAAAAAAACCGTACAAATTCTATGTGTACATAAGAACATTTTACAGTTTCATTAGATATAAAGTTGTATGTACAAACAAATAAAAGTTAACAACATTTA